GCCTGTACTGGTACATGGGCTTATTCCCAGGATGCAGGACTTGGCACTTCCCTCTGTTGAACTTCATGAGGTTCTCATCCGTCCGTTTCTCCAGCCTGCTGAGGTCCCTCCGAATGGCAGCACAACTCTCCAGGGTATCAAGCACTCCTCCCAGTTTTGGGTCAACTGCAAACTTGCTGAGGGTGCACTCTGCCCCATCATTCAGGTCACTAATGAAGATGTTAAACAGTATTGGCCCCAGCGTTGGCCCCTGGGGGACACCATTAGTGTCTGGTCTCCAGCTGGACTTTGTGCCACTAATCACAATCCTTTGAGCTTGGCGGGTCAGCCAGTTTTCAATCCACCTCACCCTAGATCCTTTTATCTAGCCGACATTTCACCTGTTTGTCTATGACGATGCTACGGGAGATGGAAGATTCAGTCGAAAGCCTTGATAAAATCAAGATAACATCCACTGCTCTCTTGTCACCCACTGAGCCAGTCATTCTCATCACAGAAAGCTGTCAGGTTGGTCAAACAGGATTTCCCCTTCGTAAATCCATGCTGACTACTCCCAGTCGCCTGCTTGTCCTTAATATGTTTGGAAACAGCTTCCAGGATTACTTTCTCTATCACCTTCCCAGGGAGTGAGGTTAAGTTGACTGGCATGCAGTTCCCCATAATCTTCTTCTTGCCCTTCTTGAAGAGAGCAGTGATGTTCGCTTTCTTCTAGTCCTCAGGAACCTCCTCAATCGCCACAACCTTTCAAAGACTATCAAGAGTGGCCTTGCAATGACATCAGGTAGCTCTCTCCTGGTGCGCCCCATCAGGTCCCACGGACTTGCAAATGCCCAGTTTGTTTAGATGTTCCCTAACCTGATCCTCCTCCACCAAGGGGAAGTCTTTCTTGTCCCTTCTCAAAATAATTCAAATTTTATCCCAATCATAAGAGGAATTTCAGTATTTTGCAGTATTTTTTTCAATGAGAAAAGCAAAAATCCATTTTCAGCTACATCCCAACTTTCCTATGCTACTACACAACAGTCTAATGCAAATTTGAATGACATTTTTCCTCTTCTACAGGAGAAACAGAGAGAGAGAAAGGGCCAGATTCTATATACAAACGCCTTTTTAAACGGATTCTGAGAGCCTTAAGCAACAAGTCAGAATACCCCCTTTCAGTGCATCTGTTTAAAATTCATTATGGTCTCCATAAATTCCATCACAACACTACCATGAGTGGAAAGGTACCAGAGTTTCATCTACAGCCCAGCTGGACAGGATCAACTAAGCACATTCAGGCATTACCTAGCATATCCAGACCTTCTCTACATGCAGCTTGAATTGCACTAACTTCAGTTCTGAACATAGACGCAGAAAGAAATGATAGAGATAGAGCCATCCACCTACACTGTAACAGCTTAGCAGTTATAGCTTTCACTTAGGATACGGAAAACCTGGAGTCCAGACCCTTCCCACCCTGAGCGCAGTCCAACAGACAGGGTGCTGGGAGGGTGACCTTACTACCACACAATGTAAAAGAGAGCCATCATCCTCTTTTATTCAGGTTACACAGTCACTACACAGCAATATGCACATATCTACAAAAAAAGAGAAAATAATCAAAATTACTGGATTTTGGTCCCTGTTCAAGGGGTCACCAACATAGACTGGAACTCACGATGGTGAGAAGAGGCTGAGAATCGAGTCTGTTCAGTTTAAGAAGAGACTGCAAAGGGAAGATCCTGCTGCAGTCTATAACCACCAAATGGAATAGTATAGAGAAGATAAAGCTCTACTCTTCTCCGAGATGCACAGGAATAGGAGAACAGACAATGAACTCGAGACAGATCTAAGGAAAAAAAAATATATTTTTTTTTTAAATCATGAGGGTGGTCAAACACCTGAAGAGGTTGCCCAGAGACAGAGTTTGTGGATGGATTCCACAATCCCATTCAAAACCCAACTGGGCAAGGCCTGAGCAACCTCCTCTAACTGGACATGCTTTGAGCAGGAAGCTGGTAAAGATGACCTCTGGAGGTCCCTTTCGACCTATGCAATTCTATGACTACGTGCCCATTTTCCATTTGAAATCTATTTGATGAGATGCAGAGACAGCACCAGGAGGAAGGAGTAGAACTCAGTCCCTCTCTCATTAGACTTCAGTGCAACTTCTGTCTTGTCACTTTCTCTAGGCCCACAGATCCTGTTTTCCTTTCTGCACAGGAGCTCAGCTCCATCTGTGAACAAGGAGTACGCTGTGCAAGACAGCCTTACCTGTATAGCTGGGGTACCTTCTGAAAGTGGGAGCTTTGGTTTTTCACACTCTCAGGCTGAGGGGTCCAAGATTCCAAGTCTCAGCCTCTGGGGTGAGCTGAAAGGCTACATGCTGTGGCTACTTCTACCTCCTCTGCTCAACGCCTCCACTCAAAACAAGGTTAGAAATTTTGATTCCAAAGCAGAGGCAGCTGTGAAGCGCTAAATATGGCACATTTCAAAACTCACTCTGTCCAGCTTGTACAGTCGACTGGCTTTAAATAGGTAAGTATATCCTTATAACTTTATCAGCAGGCAAAATGACTCACATTAAGTGCCCAGGTCCTCCTCCAACCAACAGAGGACAGGCAAAGAATGATTCAGAGTGTTTCTGCAGGGTCGTTTGGGGGCTCTGAATCATTCTTCAGAAGCATCTCCCTTCCTTCACCCACCCCCATGGACAGAACAGATGAAGAGCTTAAGCTTTCAGAATGACCTTGCTAGCTCCCAGGGTCGTGCATTGCAGAACGTGGCTTTAGGGGAAGTGTACAAGGAAAGACTGTGGTAGAACAACAAGCATTAGACTAACTTTCCTCCAGCTCCTACTGAGACTTGAGAGGGCCACAAGGAAAACAGAAGTTATAGAATGGCTAATGTACATAGCATAGTAAGAAGGAAATAACTTCAGCATGAAAACAAAATGCAACTGAGGAGAGATCTATGAAAACACAGATAAGAATCAGACAAAGAGAGCAAGCAAACACTCAGTCGGTTTTCATTACTCCAGGAAAAAGTTATTTATTAACTTAGAGAGCCCAGCTGGATTTACAAAATTGAGTTCTAAACGGCAATTCTGTTATTGCCTGCTTTCTGCTATCACAGCACATGTAATTCCGGTTACCTGTGTCATAACAAAAAGAAAGAAATTGTGCTGATGCACACCACACAATGTTCCTTCTCTAAAGCCACCATTTCAACATTCACCATCAAAACACGATGACATAACTGAACAAAGAGCATTCTCCTATCACTGTTACCGTCCATCAGGCAATTTCTAACGCACTCAATTAGAACAGAAGGGAATTCAAAGGGAATTTAGGGACTGGTATTTCAGCAAGGGGAATTTATGGTGTAATATTTGTTTCTGCTAAGGACAGAATGCCACGTTTTAGTCTGTTGACACTTCTGTCTTATGGGTAAGATAGTAAGACAAAGCAGACATTTCAGAGAAAAGCTCAGTGTCTCTGAGTTCTGAAAACGATTAAAGAAACATACAAAAAAAAAAAATCTCCGGACGATACTGTGCAACACAACTTTGTCCTCCCTGGTTTATCAAGGTCTGACAGGATAACAAAGAACCAACCAATCAGCTCTACTTTATAAACAAAGCTAGACACATCTGCATTGATGCTGCTTACAAAACTTCTCTCTTCTGCTATTTTGTTTAGACAGCTAACACTTCAAGGCAGGAATCTTGCCAAGTGAGACGATCCAAAAACGCACACCACTGCCTTTCCTTATGGCTATATAATTACTAGTATTCATGAAAAAAAAAAAAAAGAAAATTCATTTAAGTATGAAAAAAGATCTTGAAATCCCCTTTTTACACAAAGATCCCGGGCAAACACAGTCATAAACAAGCAAAGAAGTCATCAGGCAAAACAAGATTTGTTGGGCAGTAGTTTTTATTGGATCAGCTGCAAAAAGATAAGCCCTCAGCGGGACGGTAAATACCCATAAAACAACCTTCACACATACCTGATTTCCTTTCATGCTGAAGAGAGACAAGTAAGGATAAGATGGGAACTTGTACTCAGGTTGCACTGGCACTTATTAGTTTCCTGTTCCGGACCTTAAAAAGAACTTTTGTGCCCTAACCTGCCTGGATTTTGGTTTTTTAAACTACAGCAGCTGATAAAACCTGTGCCTACAGATACCACTGCACATGCTACGCTACTAGTACAACAGCAAGTCATTACCTGCTTCGAGGTATTTCTTTAAAGATTCATCAAGGGGAGGCACTGGCAGCGAAGGCAGCAAGTTCTGTAACTGAAACGTGCGCTCTTCCAAAAAACGAGGATTCAAGCGCCTTCTTATCCATGATGCGGATCTGCAGCACAACGTTAACAACAACAGCCTGTTACGAAGCCCAATTCAGAGAATTAGTGTGGCATCTCCCCTTTCAGTTCTATTCACGGGGTAAAAAGAACACGCATCGCGGAAGCGCACCTACTGACAAAGCCAGAGCCGCGGATTTCTGGGCAGAACTCTCCGGCTGCGAGAGGACACGCAGAACAGCGCGGTTACGCGGCGACGAACAAACCTCCAGCGCAGTTTCCCGACGGCGGAGCACCCAGCCGCCTCCGCCCCGCCCGG